AGAGATGAGGTCTCACTGCCCAGGCGGGTCTTGAACCCGCGGGCTCAGGCAATCCACTCACCTCAGCCTCCCAAAGGCACGGGATTACAGGCTGAGCCACCGAGCCCGGCTGTTTCTATTTTTTAATTATGTAGAATTGTTCCCCTACTTTCCACAAATATATTCTATTACATTGATTGATTTTTGCATGTTGAACCAATCTAGCGCTCCTGGTATCAATCCCACTTGGTCATGAGATATAATTCATTTTAAATGTGGCTGGTTTCAATTTGCTAGTATTTTATTGAGGGCATTTGCATCTATATTAATAAGGTATATTGATCTGTAGGGTTTTTCATAATTTTGGGGGGTCTAGTTTTGGTATCCTGGTAATATGGCCTTACAGAATACATTGGGAAGTGATGTTCATCTACTTTTGAAAAGTTTGGTGTCGATTCTTTATGTGTTTGGTAGGATTTACCAAAAGTGAAGACATTTGACCTTGAGATTTTCTTGGAGGTTCTTGATTACTAACTTTATAGCTTCATTTATTATAGGTTTATTCAGAATATTTAATCAGTTTTGATCATGTTTTCCTAGGAATTGGTTCTTTTAATGGCATACTATTGTTCTTGTTCATAGAATTCCCTCATTCTTTTTTCTTTTTCTTTCTTATTTCTGTAAGATCAGAAATGATGTTTCTACTTTTTTCCTAATTTTAAAAATGTGAGTCTTTGGTTTTTTCTTGGTAATTCCAGCTAAACATAAGTCAATTTTGTTGATCTTTTCAAAAACCACATTATGGTTGTGTGTTAATTTTTAAACTATTTTGTATTTTCTATCCTACTTATCTCTGTTCTAATGTTTAATATTTCCTTTATTCTTGTTGTGGGTTTAGTTTGCTCTTATTTTTTAACTTTTAAAAGAGAAAGGTTAAGTTATTGATTTAAGTTTTTGTTCTGTTATTGGGACAGGTGTTTAGAGAAATATATTTTTCTCTACAAACTGCCTTTGTTGTATTCCATAGGTTATGATATGCTATATTCTGTTTCATCTTCAAGTGTTTACTAACATCTCCTGTGATTTCTTCTTTGATCCAATGGTTGTTTAAATGTTTCTTGTTTTCTACATATTAGTAGGTTTTCTAAATTTTCTTCTCTTACTGACTTCTAATTTTATGCTATTGTAGACTGATAACATACTATGTAATATTTCAATCTTTAAAATTATTGAGATTTACTTTGTGGCCTAATGCATTGTCTTCCTGAAGAATGTTCCATGTACACTTGAGAACTATGTGCATTCTTCTTGTTGGGTGGAGCAGTTAGATTTAGTTGGTTTATATTCTGTTCAAGTCTTCTATTTTTCTTATTTCTGATCTTCTGTTTAGTTCTATTCGTTATTGCAAGGAAGAGATTTAACTCTCCAAATAATGTTTTTCAACTGTTAATTTCTCCCTTCAGCTATTTCAGTTTATGAAACGTATATTTTGGGAATTTTTTCTTAAGTACATGTATGTTTATAATAGTCATATATTCTTGATGGATTGGCCCTTTTATCATTCAATAATGTCCTTTGTCTCTTGTAGCCTCCATTATCTTTAAAGGTATTCTGTCTGGTGTTAGCATAATCAATCTAGCTGTCTTTGGTTACTGTATACATAACATGTATTTTTTCATCTGGTTATTTTCAACTTATATGTGTTTTTTAACCTAAAGTGAATTTCTTGTAGACTGAATGTAGTTGAATTATGCTTTTTAAAAATAGCCATTCTACCAATCTTTGCATTTTAGCTTCTGAGTTTAATTCATTAGTATATAATATAATTACTGATAAGGTAAGACTTACTCCTGCCATTTTGCTATATTTTTATATGTCATACATTTTTTGTTCTTAAATTCATCCATTAGTCTCTTCTTTTGTATTAGATATTTTATAATGTACTATTTAAAATCACTTGTGTTTTACCACATATGTTTTTAGTTTTTTGGTTTTTTTTAGTGTTGGCCTTGGCAATTAAAATCTCTCAAAATCCAGTTTGAATTGATAGCAATTAAATGTCAACACTATATAAAAATTTTGTTCCTATATAGTGTCATCCTCACTTTATCATGTTACATCACAAATTACATC